AAGTGGGGAAAAAGTAATTTTTAGTTTTGGCCTGACAAGTTCTGGTGTGGGATGTGCGTTGTGGTGCTATTCATTTCAATGGCTCCCCAAAGAAATCTGCAGTGCAATCACTGTAATGCCATGCTTTCCAGTGCAGTGCGATTGCAAACATTTGTGCATGCAGTTTTGTTCTAAAGTAAACTTTATGTTTGTAACACTCCATTTGTGTATTTAAAAAAACAAAAACATTTTAAATTAAGGATGGTATTTAAGTTTTTTTAATCCGATTATTTATTTAATCCAAAAAATAATAGGCCAACTAATCGATTCTGAAAATAATTATTAGTTGCAGCCCTAAATGTAACCTAAATGTAACTACTTATTAAGAGTATAACTCCATTACCATAGGGCAGGGCTCAAAATTTTAAGTCCTGAGCTACTAGCCAGGCCTTAAAAGTTACTCACCACCAGTTGCCCACCTAACCCCTACCCTGACAAAGGTCAGCAATAACGCACAGTGCAGAGGTCAGCAATAACGCACAGTGCAGAGGTCAGCAATAATGCACAGTGCAGAGGTCAGCAAGAATGCACAGTACAGAGGTCAGCAAGAACGCACAGTGCAGAGTCGGCAAAAGCGCACAGTGCGCATGGCTGACCATATTCAGGTTCCCTTTTCTTCTCCTGGAGGGGGTGGGGTACAGCGATCTGTCCTCCATGTCCGACTTGAAACCTCCCTTCAGGTCCCGCACTGTCCTGCCAGCCAATTGGAGCTCTGCAGTCTTCCTCCCAGCCTATGGCAGCTAACGTGGGCGGAGGAAGACTGCAGGTGACGGACAGCCAGCTGAACATTCCCACTTCTTTTCTCCTTTTTCAGCCGCTGCAGCTATAGAGAGGCCGAAGAGGAGAAGAGAAGGGGGAGAGCTGAACGGGTGATTCCCCCCTCGTCCTGCCGGCGGTGCCGCACCCCCCCATGTGAATTTCCATTCGCCCCCACGCAATTTTCACTTGCCAATTGCGAGGGGGCAAGTGGAAATGTTTAGCCCTGCCATAGGGTATATGGAAAATATATCAAGTTTGACTATGGTGCTATAGGTCAGCATAGGTCAATACCCTAATTTAACAGTCGTGTATTCCTAAAACTGCACACTAGACCATTTAAGATGTGACCATTTATGAAAGGACCTCCGTAGAGGTCCTTTGGAGCCCCTGGGCTAGTTAAGATTTACGGTGCTTTGCAGTCCTTCTAAGTGGACTATTTTTTGTAAAATGTCTTGTGCACTTGGCTGCGTAGGCAGAGATTTTAATATAACCATCCTGTTACTGACTTTTGAATTTTGAGGAAAATGAGGGTGTCATTGTTTGGCGTTTGTTAGACCTTATTACAATAACCTGATCATTATAAGTCTTCTATTCAGTGTGAAAAGGTAGCAACAGTTGTCAATGGCATCAGTGATCACTTCAGACATATTTCTTGTGTAGTTTACATTAGCAGGTCTAGTGTAATACCCAGGTCACACATTCTTATGACACAAAAACTATTTGATCTTTGTCATATAGTCAGGAAGAGCTTTTGAACAAGGCATAGCATGGAAAACTCAATGTCAATGGCTTTGATACCTGCAATAAATTGTCAGTATTATGGCCTATCAGCAGATTTAAATGTCATGATTGCCCTGCTTTTCTGATCATTTAGTCAAAGAGATAATTATGCCTTGGCATATTTTGAAAGAGTTATCAGAAAAGCTGGCAAGCACTCAGCAAGATAATTTCCTTCTACATGGTACTTTACTACCACAGCACTCACAAAGTATTATATAATTGCTCTTTTGAACAACCAAATGTGAAATGTAAGGAAGAGCTGTGTAGAGCCATCTGGAGGAATATGCTGAAAGAGGATACTCAGACCATACTGAAAAAAGTTATAAATTCCATAGTTCCGTGTAAAGACCTGTCTTCACAAGCATTAATAGTTTATTGCGGACAGACTTTCCATAGCTAAGATACTGTTACACATGCAAGATGATATAGATGTGAAAATACAATGTTTGTACATATTTAGAAATAGAACTTTTGTCTGAAAAATTTAATTGTATTGTAAAAGTAACATTTTAGATATTAGACGCCTATTATCCAATACTACAATTTTTAAAGGTAGTCTCCAGAGTGTGCAACAGGTAATCTCACAGTAGGAGCAGAAATCCATGAAATTGTATACTTTAAGGTAATAGCCAATTGTTTAGTTGAGAAAGTGTAAAGCCTCACCACCACCACCACCACCCAAAAATATATGGTTCTTTTTAGCAGATAGAGTGTAGGAATGTGTGTATTTGGCCCAAGTTCTTTTGGCCTTCAATAAGATAAGCATGGATTTGGACTTTATGTAGTGTAAGTGGTTAGACAAATGGTTACTTTCCGGTTAGGTTAGGGTTAAGGCTACAATTAGGGTTTAGGAAGTGTTTTAATTTTTACAGATTAACTATAGCATTCAGGTTAAGAGTTCATTTTAGGTTGTTTAAAGCTTCAGGTAAACTGATTTTAAGGATAGTGCAAATTATGTTATGTATTACGGTCATCTTAAGGTTAGAAGTCAAGAACATACTTGCACATGCTTTAATTTACATGTTTTCAATGTCAAAAGCACAGTACCAAGAACTGGTGTTTTATTCCTAAGGGGCTGTTTGATTTAATGATTTTTTTAAACTCAGAACTTTAACACTTTTAATCAA